CATAATAATACTTAGCCATGCTAGTTTGTCATCTTTATTTGCATCACTTGTTCATCATGTATTATATCTTTATTAAGCAACTATTTTATGTTTAGAACTCTTTATGGCTGAATCTGGTTAGGCACATTTTCAGTTCAGTTTTGCCGTATAGTTATCTTCTGATGGCTGCATGCAGCTTTTCACCCTTCAGTAAGGAGTCCTTTATTTGTTGTAGATCCTTGTCGCCCATGAGTGATGGACGCTGTATAGTTATGCAGTGCTGCTGGTGTGAAGGTTATTACCCTTTATGGTTTATTTTTCTTTGATCATATATTCTTTCCATCTATATCTACTTCAAATATTCTTTCCATGGAATCTCAACCGATTGGGTTTGTAATAGGAGGTTTGGATCATGCAGTTTGCAGATATTCAGTTATAAAATATTTGTGGTTCATCAGTTCCTTTTGTGCATGTTGTCAAGAATGTGTCATATGAGCCAAGATTCAAACTCTTCTGGATGTGAATTTGACAAAACGGATCATCTTAGGTACTAATAGAAATATTTACTTCCAAATTTCCAATTTCTCCTTCATGTGGCCATGTTACAGATATTTGATTAAAAAAAATCTTTACTACACATGATCTGCCTATGTTACAAATATTTGATTAAAAAATTCTGTTTCAACGGATATTGGATTTTGTTACGGTCTGGTTCATTCTCACTGTTGTTTAATCTTTCAGTTTGGGGGTGTCTCTCTTCTGTATATTGATAACTATCTGTTTCTAGTAGGATGAGTGTCCTGAAGAATCGGAAGATGCTGCAAAACATGATGATGTGATACTGCCATGCTATTTCTACTGGTCTCTCTGCTAGTGCCTTATCGCTCGTTCACCAATCTCCATCCTCACCATGGTCTCTGTACTCAACAAGGGTGAACTCTACAAGTTCTAGTAGGCTCCTCGGTGACTCCTCACAGGAGAGCTTTTGGCCTGATCTGATGGAGCTGAGAGGTATGCATGCAAGTTTAGCTGATTTCCTTTACTGATCCGTAGCGGCATAGTTGATTTGTCACAGTAAAAGAGATAGGGCGGTCTGATTGTGCAAAATGAACTCTACATATGTATAGCTCTTAGTTCTTGTTACAGTCAAACATGAACCATTTCCACATAGAAAATCATTAATTAGAGATGTAAAACGAAAGGCTTATAGCATTCTGTTGTCCAACTGTTTATATTTTTAGAACTCTATTCTCAAAATTATAATCCCGAGTAATGCTGCAACAGGTCAAAGGAAGAAGTCAAACCTGAAGAAGTGCAGGGAGGAAATTACAGCTGCGTGTGTCCGGCTGGTTCAGGGAATGTGCAGGGCGGCCGTAGCCATGCGGGTGTCGAGGCAGGCGATCTCGCGGATGGATGCCATGCTGCGAGGGTAGGTTCCTGGGCGCCCGCTACGTTGATGACGGATTCCACGCTGCGAGCGGCAACAATCGGCGACAATCGGCGATGGCGATCGTGCAGGGAGGCGACGGTGTTGGTGGGCGGCATCTGGTGCGGTGGTGACTCAAGGCAGACAAACGTCGAGGTCAAGGGCGAGGGAGCAGATTTGATTGAGTTTCCTTAGTTTGCGATTTGATTGCGTGATTGTAGGGAAACACGGGAGGGAGCAGATTTGGTTGTGTTTCCTTAGTTTGCGATCTGATTGCGTGATTGCAGGAAAACATGGGATTGGTTGTTGGAATACTCCTATGGTGGTGGAGTACGGTCAGTCATTAGAAATTGCTAAGTACACACCATCCCGCTATTAGATAAATGATGGCCGTTAGATTGAAATTTGTGGGACTAATCGTGTGGTTCTGACTGGGTTGTGCGGTGTTGTGGGGGCTAATAGTGGGGTGCGTGTAAGAAAGTTCTTGTTCGATTGTTTAATAGTAGTGGAGATGTCTCGCCATCATCTACTGCTAGAATCTTTCCTCCGGGGTACGGCTGAGAATTCAGCATATAAGCTAGTCGCATATACTCCCTCTGTCCTAAAATTCTTGTGTTAGGTTCGTCTAGATACGGATGTATCTAATACTAAAATGTGACTTGATATATTCATATTTAGACAAATTTAAGACAAGAATTTTAGGACGGACGGAGTATTTGATTGCATTCAAATAAAATTTAACGAAAATGAACAAATTTGATTCAAGCTTAAACAAACTGGACAATATTTATTCACACTTGAATGATTGTTACATAAACCGGATGCCTTTCATCTAAAACGGAGCAAAATCACTACATTTAGACATATTTTAACTAGACCAGACTTTAAACCTAGCCTAAAATGACCGCCGGCGCCTGTTCTTCATCTCCGGCCGGCCATGAGCCCCAGAAAATGAAGCTCCGCCTCATTTTCCGCAGCCGTGAGTCCCGGAGACTGAAGCTATCCGCCCCGACATCGCTACCAAACGATTAATCGCCGACGATGTTGAGCCCGCCAACCTTGGCGGGAGGGGAAGAGCGGTGGCCTTCCTGGGATCCGAGCAACGGCGACCTCCCATGCTCTACTCTTCTTTGTTGTCGGCGGCGGTCGCGGATGTGCCGACTTTGTGATCGTGACGGCAGGGCGCGACCAGTACGGAGCTGGCGATGTCCTTTTCATCGTCGCTCTTGCCAAACACCTCATCCGCCGCCTCTTCCAGCCTGTAAATCCGCCTGATACTGGATGTATCGCCAGTGGTTGCAGCGGATTTCGCGGGCCGTGTGGTAGAGTCGGCGAGCGCCTCCTGCTCAGGCACGTTCACATCCCACGCTATGACTGTGTTGGCGGTGATTTGCTTCTCCGTGAGCCAGTGCTCATTGAGGGGGCTGAGGTTATAGGCCTGGTCGGTCTGCGTCTGGCGAAACTTGGCCTCCCGCTCCTCCCGCATCATGTCCATGTAGTGGGCACGGGGCTCGCCCATGGTGATGTCGGCATGCACCAGCGAGGAGGAGGGGCGCCTGTTCATCCTCGGCTACGTCCTTCATTGGGATATTCGCAACGCAGACTTCCGTCAGCCAGCCGGCCTGCCAGCCAGCTGCAATGGCGGCGATCTCCCATTTCTGAGGTTGTATAACGAGGTCCCAGGTTCAAAACACTTGTTCGTGTTTTCTCGTTTATCAATCATAGTTACTAACCAGTGTGACCCATGTTTCTAATTTGAGGTGTTTCTTACATAATAAGAAAAAAAGGGTTTCCGTAAAAAGAATCCTCATGCACGGGCCACCCATTCCCACCCACCGACATGTGGGACATGGCCGCTTTGGCATGCCATGTAGGTAGAACATACATGCGGAAACATACATAGGCACTGTATTTGCACCATACGACAAATTATAGCATCAATTTTGTGTATTTTACGATTTTAGACATCAAACTGACTGCACAAGACAAGTTAAGGCACCATTGATGTATTTAACTCTATAAATAAATACAATCAGTCATCAGTTATGGCTGGTCCTATTGCTGTCCTGCAGGAAAAAAGAGCGTTGTTTCCGATGACAGTACTGCTACTCGTGGCCAAATTTACTGTTTTGACCCTTTTTCGTTAGTTTAGCAAGATCTGACCCTATCTGCAAAAGTTTTTCGGATCTGACCCTTTTCCTACCGTCATTGTCTATGGCGGTAGGGTAACACACCCTACCGCCAAAGCCTTTGGCGGTAGGACTTACCTGCACCGTCGCTTTCATTTTTTGCAGAAAGGACCCTACCGCCGCAGTCGATGGCGGTAGGACGTGTAACCCTACCGCCATAGCCTATGGCGGTAGGGACCTTTTTACAAAAAATGAATCTTTTATTGCATGCGTGCCCTTATTATAATTACATGCATGTCCCTACCGCCAAAGACCATGGCGGTAGGGTCCTTTTCACATCGAACGGGCGTGACGGTGTAAGTAAGTCCTACCGCCAAAGGCCTTGACGGTAGGGTGTGTTACCCTACCGCCATAGACAATGACGGTAGGAAAAGGGTCAGATCCGAATTTTTTTTGCACATAGGGTCAAATCGTGCTTAAGTTAAGGAAAAGGGTCAAAACAGTGAATTTGGCCGCTACTCGTATGGCTGTGACTCTCAGCAACCTTGGAGAGAAGGGAAATACGGAGGAAATGAAAAGGTCCTGATTCCTGAACCTGCATATATTACGAGCGCGTACGTGCGGTGGCCAGCAGCACCCCACGGCAAGACGCGCCGCGCATTTTAGTACTGCGCACGTCGCGGCACGAACGAACCCATGGAGAAGGAGTCCGTCCGCCCGGGCCCCGCGGCGACGGGGTCGGGTCGGCCAAGGGACGGAAATGCACCACCTACACGCTTAATTACCTGATTTGGTGGTCGTTGCCGCGGCGCTCAGCTGGCCTAGCCGACCCCGTGACCACCCACACCCACACGCACTGCTTGTCCGCAATGATTTTTGTCTACATGCATGCAGGTGGCAATACGAGCAGCCGAGTCGAACAGTGCCTCCGTGACTCGCCGAGTAGATCCATAGATAGATCCCGTGCCGTACAAGCGGGTGAATGCGGCCCGCCGGATCACCTCCATCCATTGCCAGTTCCGTTATTTATTTACTTCCAGCGCCTTGTCACGTGAGCGAACAGCGGGAGCCTTTTTCTTTCGGAGCAAAAAACAGCTCGAGGCTTTTTTTGAGAGAGGAAAAGAGACGTGATAAAATGTGAAAAAGCAAAAGGGTCAAAGAGCTTCGCATCGCACTGTTGCTCTCCCCCGCTCTTTATTACCGCCGGGGTCCGCTGCTTGCCGTTGATCGGACGGCCGTCGCGGCCGCGGCGGACGGTTTCGGGCCGTCCGATCCTCCAGCGCGGCCAGATCCGGCGTTTCCAGCCTCGTCTCCCTCCTCCTTCCGCGGTTCAACTGTACCACCACGTCTCCTCCACTCCGCTGCAGCTCCGTTCACACCCGCTCCGCTCCTGAACTCCCCGCCAGATTCTCCGGCCAGGGGACGCCCGCCGCTCCTCCGGCCACGGCCAGTCGCGAGGAACAGCAATGCGGCTCCTCCTCCTCCTGCTCCCGCTCCTCGCCGCCGCGGCTGCCGGCGCCGCCCGCGACTCCGACGACCCCTTCCTCTCCGGCGGTAAGCACTTTCAATTAAGCTCGAATCGAGCTCCTATACAACACCCGCGTGCACCGCACTGAAGCGCGCTCTCTCTGTCCGTGCAGCGCAGGCGAACCACAGCTACAACATCGACTGCGGCGGCGCGGCGGACTTCACCTCCGCCTTCGGCCGCCGCTGGCTGGCGGACCGCTTCTTCTCGGCGGGGGGCAACGCGGGGATGGTCGCCGAGCCGCACCGCTTCCCGCAGCCGCAGGAGCGCACGCTGCGCTTCTTCCCGCCCTCCTCCGCCGGCAAGTCCTCCTGCTACTCCCTCCCGCTCGCCCCCGGCCGCTACTACCTCCGCGTCTTCTCCGTCTACGACAACTACAACTCCAAGCTCCGCTCCCCGTCCTTCGACGTCTCCGCCGCCGCCACGCTCGTGCTCTCCTTCCGCTCCCCGTGGCCCGAGACCGCCGCGCGCTACGGGGCCTACTCCGACCTCATCTTCCCCTCCGACTCCTCCTCCTCCTCCGACGCCACCGACGTCTGCTTCTACTCGCTCTCCACCGACGCCCCCGTCGTCGCCTCCATCGAGGTCGCCCCCGTCCACCCGCTCGCCTACGACGGCGCCACCACCGGCGCCGACGTCGTCCTCGTCAACTACGGCCGCCTCACCTGCGGGAACGGCCTCTTCGGCCCGGGCTTCACCAACGACTCCGACGCCTTCTCCAGGGTCTGGCAGGCCGGCACAGATTTCCGGAACAACGACCTCACCTACGACGCCATCACTGCCGGAGGGAGGAAGATTTTCGGCAGCAACCAGCCGCCCAATTACTTCCCCACCAAGATGTACAGGTCGGCGGTGACCACGGGCGGGGACGCCTCCAACGAGATCGAGTACCTGATGCCGGTGGACACGAGGATGTCCTACATGGTCTGGCTGCATTTCGCCGAGATCGACGCCGGGGTCAGGGCCCCTGGCCAGAGGGTGTTCGACGTAATGCTTGCCGGCAGGAATGTGACCAGGATCGACATCTTCAAGCAGGTCGGAGGGTTCACGGCCTTCAAGTGGACATACATTGTGGAGAACCTGACCAGCTCCACCATGAGCGTCAGGCTTGTGCCGGTGGTGGGGCGGCCGATTCTGTGCGGGCTCGAGAATTACGCAATGGTGCCCCTTGAGACGAGGACGGTGCCGCACCAAGGTAATCGTTTGAAGATCTTCCTTTCTTGGGACAGGCTAATTGGATACTCCCTGAGTATTCTTGGAGCTTGTTTTGTTTTCCTGAACAAGATGGGTCGATCGAGCTCTCCAATTTCTATTATTAAAAACCAGCCTACATTTGCTGAGCCTGTTGCGCTGGTTTTGGCAGCGGCTGCGATGAAGGCCCTGAAGGATTCACTGAAAATTCCAGCAAGGATGGGGTGGAACGGGGATCCATGCGCGCCGAGGACGTGGGATGCATGGGAGGGAGTTACTTGCCATCCCGGTAACAAAGGGCTTGTGATCACTCAGCTGTGAGTTCACTTTCGATATCCCGATGCTATTTTTATACATTCTCTGTTTCATTAGGGTATTTCTGCTTCGGGTCAAATAGTCATTTTAACCTACGTTGATTTACCAAGTGTATTCCTGTTTTCTGCCAATGTAGAATTATCTTTGAAGAAGTACTTGTAGTGTTTTGCATATCATTGTAAAGATATTTTAACAGTCAGACAGAGCTAGCAGCAAACATATCTACCTCAGGGGTTGCTGCCTGCTTGCTACTTAACCAATCTTAGCTGTACCACAAAGCAGAACTGCAAAATTTTAATTACATCCAAAAGTTTTTGTTCCAATTGTGCTTTTACCTTGAGCTACTGCTCAAGTATTGTTCTAACTTCAGTGCTAATAGCTAAAAATGTGTTGTCATACAACATAGTACTCTGTCTGCATCAGTATCACTATGTGTACTTGAATGAAATTCAACAATAGAAGTATGATTGCACATAGAATAAATAAATTGTAACCTTCTGCTCATTATATGTTGTGAAAAATTGAATGGTTGCTGTTATAATTACATATATTTTTTAATTTGCCCCGACAGGGATCTTGCAAGTCAAGGACTGAAAGGTTTCATCACTGATGAAATAAGTCATCTGACAGACTTGGTAAGCTTGTAAGTATCATTGCACACACTTAAAGTTGATTTCCACTTAATCCTGGTCATCATTGGTATTTCTAGTTTCCGCATATTGATGGTTCTTCAGTTTCATGTCTGCATTAGCTTTACAGGAGCATATGAACAGAAATTTGTAACTTTCTAGTACTATAGATAATTGGTTAACGTTGTGCATGACATCTGAGAGACTTATGTGAGTAGCTTACCATGACTATTTCCTTTCTACTCCCTCCGTTCCAAAATAGATGACCCAACTTTATACTAACTTTAACTAAAGTTAGTACAAAGTTGTGTCATCTATTTTGGGACGGAGGGAGTAGATACTAAAGCAAGGAGCAGAACGGATCCAAAAAAATAGAGATAAGAGTACAGGGTGTCACCTGGACATAAATGAAATCTCAAATTCAGTGTGAAATATAATATTGGCAGGTCCCAGAGTCAACATGGAAAGACCAACTGCACATGGGTACATTATGACAGTATGTCAAGGAGTGGTAGAGCACTACGAGTAGCAACCCTTGACCTGGACAGGCATAATAACATGCATCTGGAATGAGTCGAGTGGCTTTCTCAGCCCCACCTGTCAACCACACCTACGATAGAAAGGCAATATTTCAACAGAAAATACGCTAGATATTTCCTCATTCCAGATTGCGTTGGACCCAATTTGTACAGACTTGTTGTTTAATGAAAAAAATCCTTCAAGTGGGGCTTCCCCTCACTGGTTTTTTTAAACATGGACTTGTAGGAAGTTTCAGCACAAATCTGGAATGATACAACAATGCAGATGATGACTACAACATTAAACAATGGACAACATTGTTTCTCCAGAACCTGTTCAATTGATACTTTCTGTGTTCCAGATATATCGCCCATGATAATTGTTTACCATTTCATATTTTATATGCTCATATTACTTTGAAAATACTTGGTTTTAAGCTATAAAAAATGGTGTTATTTTACTTACACAGTTTACAATTTTTCATCTCTCTTGTTGAACATTAATAAATATTATGATCTGCCTGACCAGGAACTTGAGCTCTAATTCCTTGACCGGAAGCTTGCCACCAGGTTTAGGCCAACCTTCACTTGCAACACTGTGAGTACAATAGTTCATGGCATGCAAAGTTGTACCTGTTCGTGCTAGAAGTACGGCGCATTTTTATCGTGCCCACATTCTGCTGTCGACGTGCTCATGGTAGATACATGATACAAAATCTTTATTTGTATGTTCATCATGAAATCTGTAAAACTATAATTTGGTAGAATTTATCTGCTCCACACCACACAAGTAGTGTTCTCATGCAGAATCATGAAGCTAGGACAGTACCAAGAAAGTAGTTCTAGGAACTCTTTCTGTGAGCTTCAGGACCTAATGGCTTTCATGACATAAACTTAGCTGGTAAATAGTCTATGGACTGATTAAACAATACATAATATTTATCTGTGGGATGGTATAACATCTGTACTGGCTATCAATGATCCTTGGTCTCAGTTTTTTTCTATCTGTGTGCCTGGATGGAGGGATGTGTTAAGTGGTCCAGATGTATCTTAGACTCTTAGGTAACTTCAGCATGTTATTTTTCTTAAAAAAGAATGTTGAATTAGCAACTGTGCTTCTAAGCCTTGCTTGCTCATTCATCATTGTCTGTCAATTCAGAAACTTTGTGTATTTCTGTTCTTGTAGTTTTATCTAATGCTTCGACAAGTCTGTTTCTCTAACAATCTGAGTCACTTTAATCACTTCGTTGTTTTTTTGTTAGGGATCTGTCGTCGAACCAGTTTACTGGGAGTATTCCTGGCACCATAGGCTCATCTAAATTACAGACTGTGTAAGCAGAGTGTTTCACAGTATTATTCAATTTGTTCATGCATTTTTTAGATATCCTGCATATGTATGCAACAATGCCGACTTACTAGGTACTACCTCTTGTGCAGTCTACTAAACAGCAATGCACTTGATGGGCAAGTTCCAGAAAAGCTTTATTCCGTTGGCGTACATGGTGGGGTGATAGAGTAAGATATCTCCACTGTTTTCATAGAACAATACTCCCGCTTTCTTCCTGTAAAGTTTGCATAGCGTGCCATCGAGGGTGACCATCAGTAAGAGTTATTGTATTCAGGCTGTTTGTTCCAGCCTTACAAATGAGGTCAAAGAGTCGTGGGTTTAGGTCTCATTCTGTCACACTTAGTGGACTTATGGATAACCATGTTAGTAGTATATTTATCTTTCCTCGGCAGTTTAGCATGACTCAGGTGTGCAAACCCGAAGACAGACTGGGTGCCTGCCAACTGAATAGGTAGAAGCTGTGTTTGAGAGAATGTGTTAGGTATCAGTTAGCTAAATGGAGCCCTGGGATGAGTTGCAGTACTCCTTTGAAAATGTTGTAGTATAAATTACTTGCAACCAGACAAGGAGAGAATATGTGTGCAAGGGGTCAGTGGATGGATTAAGAACCATGCGTTTATATACTAAATAGATTCTGGATAATTAGCTGTGTTGTGTAACTTCCATTTCATTCTCTTATTTTTTACCAATATGCATTGTGTTGGCAGTCTCTCAGGTAATAAAGGCCTGTGTGGGGTGCCTACTCTACCCGCTTGTGCATTATTCTGGGAGAAAGGAGGGTTGAACAAAACCGGCAAAATTGCACTTGGAGCCTCGTTTGGACTTCTTCTGCTTGTTATACTTATAGTGGTCTACATAGTGTGCATAAGACGGGGGCCATACGATTATGATTTCGAGTTCCCTCAAGATTTGACCTGTAAGTATCTCAACTCTTTTACCTTCATATATGAATTAAATTACTGAAACGGCCATCATTTTGATTTGTAGCGTTAGTGCTGTATTCCACTAAAACTGTAGCTGAGGCCAGTTGTATCAGTTATCGATTTATGATGCTGGTTTTGAAACTTCAGTCGGGTTTATACTTATGAAACTGTAGTGTGGCAGATTTAGCTACCTACCTATACTGCCTCTGCCGCTGTTATTCAAACTATATGATCTTGGTGGTTATTCCTGAACTAGTAAACAGAAGTCACAACGCACGGCCCAATTGTCTTTCTTCATTTGGCACTTGTCTGAAGACAACATATTTAACCTCTTGGATTTACGTCTGCAGCGATATCAGCAATCTCCGCGAAAAGGAACAGGTATCAGCGGGCAAAGTCCGTGATGCTGGCAGAGATGGACGCCCACAACACGGATGGTTTCTACACGAACGGGAACGGGAACACTCGATAAGCGACACATGCACGCTGGAAATGGACTGGTTGTCGCATGCACCCAGAAGAAACACTCATAACAGGCTGCATGGTCAGAGCAGGGATAGTGCGTTGTGAATTGATTTTTGCCAGCATCATCGGCATCATGCCCTTGTAGCTTCTTCGGTCAGCAGCAGCAGCTTCGTCGCCACTCTCTTGCAGATACTCCCATACACGACGGAGCTATGCGAGGCGTAACTTATGTCATGTTTACTCTACTATAGTATGAGCTGGTGGTGGTAGTTAGTACTAGGGGGCCTTGCTTCTTTTTCTGGAGGCTTTGGTCCAGTATCCTTGTGTTGGTTTTAGCTTAGGGATGTGATGTCCACTGTGTGAACCATGTAAAGGCAACCGGGGGTATCTATATTTTTGTTCTTGTATAAAAACCTGACATGGTGCAACTGACAAAGGAGGCAAGGACAATGAAAACATTGGTTCGTGTGTGATCATGTTTTGCTTAACGGTTTAAAAGGGCCATAAGTGTCTCTAAAAGTGGGTTCTTTTGGCAATGTCTCTAAATGTCTGTATTTCTTACTGGACTGATTTTTTTAGGGACTGTATTCTATTGTTTTTCTTTCTTTTTAGGGAGACTGTAATCTATTGCTTGGCACCTTAATCAGCGGTTTAAAATTTGTTATTTTTTTAATTTTTACCCAAATTAAGAAAAATGTTCGGGTATAAAAAAAACCACTTTAAGAAAACTTTGAAATTTTAAAAAAGGTACATGTTTTTTGAAAATTATCCAAATTTAAAATTTCTTCATGTTTTCAAAAAATGTTCAAAGAAAAAAGGCTAAAGATCGTATGCTACAGTGTACCAGCCAGTGCAGTAAATCGAATCACTACAGCAGATCACAAATTTCTACAATGCTCCACTGGTACATAGGCCCGCTGAATACGGAGCGCCCCTTTGGTCACGGACTCACGGTGGTGTTGGACATAGTGAGCATCCAATAGGAGCTTCCACAAATTATAGGTTTTTTCTTCCATGAGAGGTTGTGCCTCTCAGAAAAAGGAAATAAAAACATGTTTTTTTCCGTGATAGGCACTCTTTTGCTTCCAAGAGAGGCAATGTTTTGCTTCCATGAGAGGCACACGGGAAAAAAGATTCTTCCTCAAGAGGCTCACATCTTCTTTCGTGAGAGGCACAAATGGAACAAAAAGTGGGAAACAATTGTGCTTTTGGTTCTTTTTTCCCTTTTGATTTTCCCTTTTTTCTTAAAAAAAGTTTGTCCAAATTTATTAACATGGAATATAGTTTCGAAGATCTTGGCGTGAGAATTCCAACGGTGAAAATGGTTCACAATTTGGACTCATGCTTTAAGAGATAAAACATTTTAAATAAACAAATCTACAAGAAAAAGGAAAACTTGTAAGGTGTGACAAGTGGTGCACATGAAATGTGTCACTTGTTGCAACCGTTGTGACAAGTGATGCATATGAATGAGCCACTTGTCGCAACCTGAAAAGAGGGAGTGATCTTTGCATGGGATAACCCTTACTTAGTGATTTCGGGAATATTCCTATTCGTGCATTTGCAGCACATGTGGGCGAAATGTACGGATGCCTCAAGCGATCACAGATAAGAGCCGGCCCGTTTTAGCTGTCCAGTTTTGGGAAATTTCCAAAAGGTTTTCGTCCGTGTTTTACTGGTTTTTTCTTTGTTCTGCTGTTTCTTTTGCAGGTTTTCATTGGAGGGTTTTTCACTTTTTTTCCTTTTTCAAAATATTCCTTTTTTTAAAACACTTCAAAATTTATTCTGAATTTCAATTTATTGGTATTTTCAAAAAAAGGTTGGTTTAGAGTTTCAAATATGTTCCTGATTTTAAAATTTGTTATTTGTTTAAAAATGTTTTCCCAAATTTGTTCACATATTCAGAAAATATCTGGATTTTCATAATTTTCCGGTTTTTTAAAAACTATCCAAATTTCAAAAAAAACCTTTGAAAAAACGTTCAAAGCAAAAAAAAAGGGATAAAAGTCGTATGCTACAGTGTACTAGCCACTACAGTAATCCAATCACTATAACAGATCACAAAATTGCTACAGTGCTCTGCTTGTACATAGGCCGGTTCAATACAGAGCGCCCCTGTGGTGTCGTTGCTATCGGCCTATGTAATAGTGAGCATCTAATAGGAGCTTCCACAAATAAGTTTTGCCCTATTTTACGGGCCCCTCGTATGTATAGGAGCTTCCATAAATATTGTAGTCGTGCACTCACCATATAGCACTTCTGTTGTGGACAGACCAACTAGGTGATTCCCCATTTTTATTTTGCATCTTTTTTTTCCTCGGGTTTCAACGATTGTTTTCCTTTTTTCCATTCATTGTCATTTGTAATAAAATACACATTTCTTTAAAATGTGCATGGACATTATTTCAATTGTGTGGATACATTTTTTTCAAAATAATATATATTTGGGATATCTGAATATTTATGTAAATCCAATAGTTTAGAACATATAAGCACTTTTCAAAAAATCATGTAATTTTAAAAAGTCTTCAACTATTTTTTTCATTTATTTATAAAAATTCTTATTCCTTTAAAAAAGTATTTATTTATTTATTTATTAAATTTCAAGGCATAAGAATTTTTAGAAATAATTAAAGTTTGTTTGAACACTTTTTCATATTGCAAGAACAAACTTCCACTCCATTGCACTGGATGCTGACCCACGGCGCGCTCCTGTGGGTGACCTTGGGAAACTTGCGTCTCCTACACTTTGGTGATATATAAGCTTTTGCTATAAACTTGCACATGCTGATGAGCAAAAAAACTATTAACAGCATCACTAGTTAGATTATACATCATTCCAAAGGTCACCACCAAACTCGGAGAGTTCAAATTATGAACCGTTTTCACCATTCTGATTTTCACGTTGAGGTCTTCATAACTAGATTCATTGTTGATAAATTTTGACGAACTTTTTCGGGCCAACTTATACTGCCATCGAAAGCTAACTTTGTACTACAGTTGCAAGAATGACATGTCACCGTTATGATTTTCATTTTTTTTGAGACATACCGTTATGATTTTCAGAGAATGACTAACCGGACCGGGCTGGGCCTAAGAATTGAGAAAATGGGCGGCACAACCCGATATGGCGATGCAGGCTGTGTGCTTGGGCCGGTCTGGTAGGAAAACAGCCCGAATCACACGACTCCAGTATATAATAAAAGAAAAGAAAAAAAAAGCAACA